CCCATCAGAGCAAGCTATAACAAAGGAAATCATGATGCCCGTCCAAATTTTGGGGTTAGGGTAGTGAGGAGGGAGGTTATTTTTGTAAATGACCCCCTCCATACAACGACTGTCTGCGAACATATCGGCTCTGCCGAAACAGTACTAGATCATTAATACTTTCATTCGAATAGTTCCTGAATGAATCTTATTCTTTTATGAGCAAATGAGCAAGTATGATGGGGGGTTTGGTCTGTTTCGTTTGACTGAACTTTTTTAAGATACGTTCAACTTGACGAACTTCACACGTGCAATAAAAAACTTTTTTACCGTGTGGTATGCAAGTATGTCAAAGAGCTAATGCCAATTATACATCTACCTACAGTAGGACTCGCCTGCCAGAAATTCGGCGCTATTTATCGCCACCCAAAGTAAGTTGTTCAACACAGCAGTTTTCTACTCATTCACTGGCTAAATTGAAAGTATTCAAGAGGAGTTTACATCACCATCAACGATAACAGCATCAGCAAAATTTACCAGATCTTGAGCAACTGGAGGGACTCAGATATACGAGTGGGCTTTACATTTTTCTTATCTTTTGAACCAGAGGTTGGAATTGAGGTTGAAAAGAGGAAGATGGAATTTGGTTATAATAAGAATGGCACAAGAAGCAGCAATCACACACCAAACTTCAGAGCGAAACGTATTTATGCGTTGCCAGGGCTCCTCTCATTGTATTGATCTACATAGCATCTTTATCCCGAAACCCACCCCCAATTTGGATCCAACCTGGGGAAACAAACTGTATCACCTGCAAGCGCAGAACCAAAAAATCGGACTGAATAATAAATAGGAATGTTGAAAAAGTGTCACATAAACTTCGCTCTGCACTATCTAAGGTCAAGAAACCAGAATATCTGAAGTGACTCCATGTGATATAGCTGCTTTCTTGCCATAGATATACCTTGACGGGTCACTGTTTCCCGATGAACAAATTCACCGGACTACGGAATTGTAAATTGCATAAGTCCACTAAAAGAATAGTCTGGTATATATGTGATTAAAACATGCCATTTGTTTATCGCAAATATTTGACATGGTGTTTAGATTATTGTGGTCACTGATGGAGAGCGAATTCTGGGACTAGGTGATCTCGGAGCTCAAGGAATGGCTATACCGGTCGGCAAAGTTTCAATATATGTGGCGCTGGCAGGAATCCGGCCTGAGAATTGCCTCCCAGTTGTCATTGACGTTGGAACCAATAATAAGGTTCGGTTTCTCGGCTAGGCGGTCAGATGCTTTCAGTTTTTAACTTTGCTCGCTTCCTTTTAATGGTATTCATCCCCATTCTCGAAAATATCCTGCCTATATATCCTGCCTAGATAATCAGCTGCTTTATACATAGGTGATAGGTAGTGTCAGTGAATGACCCAACCCAAATCCAGGCGGTGATTCGATTTGCTTGAGATAACTTCACTACTTAAAGAGTTACCTCGAAGATCCACTTTACATCGGCCTCCGACGTAACAGGGTTCGCGGAGAAGAGTACGATCTGTTGATCGACAATTTCATGAAGGCTGTCGTAAAAAAGTTAGTTTACTTACTTTTTCTCGTTTTCAATTATGAATTGAAAACAAACAGAGAAGATTTTCGGTGATACATGGAGGAAGGTTACATGAACCGGCAAATCAGAAAAAGTGCCAACTATTTTTGAATGCTACTTATATCCCAATTTATGATATATTTGTCGCAGATTCGGTCGCCACACCCTAATTCATTTCGAAGATTTCGCGTTCCAAAATGCTTTCAAATTTCTGGACAAGTATCGGGAAGATTATTGTTTTTTTAACAACGATATTCAAGGTAAAAGAAACATAAGTGTAGGTGTATCAATTCATCCTTTCCACTGAGATTGCAATACAAATCAGGAACGGCAGCCGGGATACTTGCTGGGCTTATTGTGACAACAAGAATTACAAAAAAGAAGCTCTGTCAGCAGAAGTTTTTGTTTTTCGGAGCTGGACAGGTACGTTTTTTCAGAAGTATCCAAGTATCCATTCAGTCGTTCAATGAACAACATATAGTCGCAGTATACTTCTTCTCTTGTATCCGACGACCAGTTTCTAGAATTGGGGTAAGAGGGTGCGCTTCGTTGCGCGTGTCCGTCGAAACTAGGTCACGCCGCAGCCGTCGCATGCGNTACGCCGCGCGCGAAGTGGGCGGGGTGACCTAATTTCGACGGACACGCGCAACGGACGTTCGCCGGGGTAAGATTACACGTTCCTGTCGCTGTTTCGGACTAATTGATTTTCTTCTACCAGGAAAGTTCTACCATTTTTTCGTTTGGAATACTCAATAAAAGGGTAGCGAAAGCCGCCGAGACCCCTCTTGGATGAACCTGTGATCCTCAAGTACAGTACAAGGGATGCTGTCGAAAAGCGTCGGTGTGAACGTCAGCTGAGCCGGCTTTGTGGCCCTTATTAGACCTAGATAAGGTCTAATAAGGGCCACAAAGCCGGCTCAGCTGACGTTCACACCAATTGCGGACGAGTTTTCAAGGTTCTGTAGAGGGCGTGCTAAATTCGCACCGGGACCCATATGTTGCACGCACGCTGCTTACTGTGGACGGCTGTACGCGATAGCACACATATTTCGGCAACTCGTACAAATACCCCTTTCATGCAACTTCTGCGGTCACAGTCTCCTCCACCCTCCATGTATGTAGATGGAGCATTATAAATCGGGGAAGAAGTGCCGCTGGAAAGTGCCAGAGAAAATATACAGAAAGAGAATTGATCTTAGAATGATTTTGAACTTGTATGTCAGATTTCGAAATTCGAATTCTAAATTCGTGCTTGAGAATGCGGTTGCTGTGCATTTAGGCAGGATTGGGTATCGCTGAGCTGATGGTAATGCAGATGGTCTCCGAAGGTGCCACAAAAGAGCAAGCATGCAACAATATTTTTATGATTGATATCGAAGGTTTGGTCACAAGAAAACGAGCACAGAACATGACTGAACGGCACCGTTTATACGCAAAAGTGAATCTTTAGAATAATGTTGCTGGATTTTGGTGATCATTAATGTGACAGTGGTTCCCGCCTCTACCGTTTGAATTTTATGGTTACGCCTGACGCTATGTTCCACGTAAAACTGGAAAAAAATCCACTGAACTGTCGGTTATGTACCACAACAATTGACAATGCTTCCCTGTGCATGGTTAAGCATTCATGGTTAAGCATTCATGGCAGTGATCCGGGTCATCACCATCACCCTCTCGACCCACCCGTTCAGCACGCAATTAGCTGATTGCCGAGAGATGAGGCGATGTTTTCTCCTGATCTATCATTCTCTGCCATTCTTTTTGCTACTGCGATCCTTCATTAAATTTTCTACCCCTAAAGGCTGAAAAAGGTTTTGCTGTTACTAGCGATTCTGTTAACATATGCTTACGAGTGAATGAATTGTAAAAGACATTTCTGTCTACTGTAGTCAGCTATTGGCACCAGGACCCAGACGTACGCAACGACACACATTGTATAGCTGGCACAGGCACTCCCTCTTCATAGTTTTTCTGGTCTTATTCTCGTCCAGCTCCCACTTTAACGATCTTTCCGAAGCCTTTCATCACTTTGGAAACCCGACTTGCGCACTTTCATCGCATTCATCACGCTATTCTCCACTTTATCTTCCATTTTTCGTCATAATCTAGATTATCCAAAATTATCGTGAGCTCTGTCTTCAAATATTTACAACTGAAACTCTATCGTCCTCCATGTTTGATGGGGCTTCAGCCACAGCTTTTCGGGACTTTAGAACAATTAGTTTCGAAATTCGTCATAAAGTATTACAAAATCTTACAGCTTCTGGGTTCAATATAGGCTAACCGACCTATCGCGTTTTACGCCTGATTGCGGCAGCTTGTTCCCTCTTTTTCTCGAAAAAGTAGTTAGTAGCAGCTCCATATCGAGTAGTAGAAACCGACGCTGATAAAAATCGGTTGCCATTATCGACCGCTACCAATACAACAATATTCCCGCCACACATTTTGCATCTTACTTGGAGTTCGATCAGTGTACGACTGAGGGGAACAAACTAACCGATCAATTACCCAACAGATGGACATAGCAAATCGGTGTAACGGCCATCGTTTACTACACAGAAACTACGAGAAATGCTCTGGGAATCTCAGTGAAGATCTTGTTACTGACTGGCCTCCATATGAATGTCGTTCTTTTGCAGGAATTGCCCGAGTCGAAGAATCTTCTTGAAATAGTGAAAGCCGTTCAACCAAATGGTTTAATTGGTTGGTTAAGTTGGACATAGTGTTTATCCAACGTTATATTAATTTATATATTCATTTGTTGAGCGAAACGGTCATGACTACCTGACATTCTTCGTTTAGATCTTTAAATGTGCCCCATGCATGTGATGACCGCTGATTCAGTTTTCAACCGAGAAAACAGTCAATTTCCTACACCTCCCATTACAGTTGATTTTATAGTGAAGCTTCAAAACGTAGTTCAAATTTTGGTCAGGTCATTAACTATGTGTGTGCTTAATATCAATGGATCTCGGGAATGATTCCTTTTCATTGGCATAAGAGATGATTTTCACTGGCGTGTGAGCACCGTGAATTTAGATATTCAACGCTTAATATCAATAAATAGGTCTAACAAAAGGAAACAACTAAAACTACAGTAGCTGATCAGCTCCCTGATACGTAGCAGGCCTCATATGATAGCATGGAAATGGCAAAAAATTTTCAAGGCGTGTCAACTAAAGCTGGTGCTTTTACCGAGGATGTTATCAAGGAGATGGCTACAATTAATGAGCGTCCCATAATATTCGCTCTATCGAATCCTAAGGAGAAATCCGAATGCACTGCAGAAGAAGCAATCAAGGGCAGTGATGTAAGTGCTCGACAAAGTGAGAAGAACTCTTAAGTGGTGGTACATCACTTTGTCGTTACAAATTAATTATAACCCAAGAGCGGCAACCCTATGAATAAAAGGGAATGGAGCGTGATGTACTATCATGGTCAATCCTAGCCAATTTTTTCCTGTCAGTTAGCAACCTCTGCTTTTAATAGGGTAATCGGAAAGTTTCAGAAAATTCAGTCGGTTTTTTTCTACACAAGATAACTAAAACAAAATAGTTAGCTCGATGATCAAAATAGTGACCTTCGTCGTAGGTTGTATTACCCTTCGAAGTTTTTAAACAACACTTTATCCACACGGCTTACGTTTCGGCAATATCGCCTTCGTCGGAGCCTGCAAGTCGAAACTATATTTATGATTCGTGCGCCACCATTTCAAACTACAAGAAGAGAATTCTAAAGGAAAGTAAAACAGAAGCGATGAGCTAACCGGCTCGAGCTGTTTGTCTGCACGCTGAGCCCGAAGTTCCTCACCGCGCTTTTATATGTGCTGGGACTCAGAGGTCGAGTCAGGGATT